TTACAAGTGTTGCTGTGACCCCCTAGGAAAAGGTTATGCCCCGCCCTGTATGTATGCATGTATGTAAAAAGAAATAAATAAAAGGAGGTCTCCAGAACTGGACACAGGATTCCAAATGAGATCTGACTAAATCCTTATAGTATATAGCAGGACTAGGACCTTTTTTTTTTTTTTTTTGCTGGTGACCCCTTTAGCAATGCATCCAAGATTTCTTTTCCCTCTTCATAGCTGCCTGGCCACATTTGTTACTCATTTGGCAATCATCTGCAAAAAAAATTCATACAAGGAGAATATTTCACAAGGAAAGAATAGAAAATGAATGAAGAGGCATTTACCATGAAATCAGCCATTCCACACTCACTTTCTCTACAATCCTGCAAAGAAAACAAAGTGTATTACTTCAATCATGGCATGACATCAACGGATGGATTCTCTAATTCAGGTATAGATGTGCAATATGGGCAACGATCTTTGAAATAAAGAAATAGTCATGCCATTACTGCCATCTCTTGTATTTCACATGTGAATCACTTTCAATATATTCCACTTTTAAACAATCAAAATTTGCACAGAGAATCCAGTGGAAAATGTCTTGGGACAGGGATGTCAAACTCAAGGCCCACAGGCTGAATCCGGCCCATAAGGTGGTTAGATCTGGCACACGGGGCCACCCTGGAAACAGCAAATGACTGGCCACGCAGCCCTCCCGAGCTCCATTTTCACTGGCAGAGGAACATCCATTTTCACTGCAGGAGACCATCGCAGCTGAAAACAGAGGTTGGGAGCCTGTTTTCACTGGCCGAGCGCTCGGGCCACCACAGGCGCTCACAACACAAGTGATGTTGAGCTGGCCACACCCACTCTGTCCACACCCACCCTGACCCCTGAGGTCAAACACAACCCTGATGCGGCCCTCAATGAAATCAAGTTTGACACCCCTGACTTAGAAATTGTGTGAAGTTGTACAGACCTTCCTACAGGTACTTACAACCCACTTCCAATGCTGGGCCCTTCTGTCCTGCTATCAGCTTCCTGCCTGTGGGGCACTCAGCAACTAGCCCACACTTATGGCTGTTTGCAACATCCTGTGATCACGTGATTGTATTTCAGAGCAGTTTTGCTGAAAACATGATCATGTGATCGCAGGACACAAGAACAACAACATGACCACATTAGCACAACTTCCTAAATTGGACAGTTTTTATTTTGTTTAGATTTTTTTTTTTTTTTGGCTTGCTATATTGTAGAAATGCAGACTATTTGATCACTTTAGTATTTACTATAATATATTGGACAAACTCCAGAAATGCAATTGTATTTCTGGCTTGCATAAGAAATTTGTATGAAATTTGTAAAACATTAAAAGTGTGGACTAAGTCAATAGTCCTCAACTTTTTGGTACCAGGAACTGGTTTTGTGGAAGGTGAATTTTCAATGGACCTGGGGCAGAGGAAGAGGAGTGTGCAACTTAGATCCTGCTCATCCACAGTTTTGCTCACCCACCGCTGCATATCAGGTTCCTAACATGCCTCATACGTCTGGACTAAGTAATCCAGTGAAAGATTTTCATTTCATTATAATGTTTTGGATTGTTTAAACCCTCTTTCTGGCTTCATTTGCTAGCAAAATAGACCATGGAAAGAGAGATGAGGAAATATACCACCTGAATAACAGAATTGCATGAGTCACACCAAAAAGGACATAAATTGCAGGAGAGAAAGAAATTGTCTAAGGAATTCCAGCAAAAAAGTTCTGAAAAGGCCTTGTCCATACATTCAACCAAATGAAGTAAGTTTGGGGTCAGTGTTGTTATAACATAGGGATGCTTTACTGCAGGCAAGAAGCATGTTACTCAAAGAAAAGGCAGAAGATGAAAAAAGCTAAGGTAGAAAAAGGTAAAAGTTTTCCCTGCCAGTCATGTCCCTTTCTAGGGGGATGGTGCTCATCTTTGATTCACAGCTGGAAGTCTCAGAGTTGTCCAAAGATGCTTCCATGGGAATTTGGCCAGAATGAATATACGCTGAAGCCACATGGAACCATGTTACGTTCTCACCAAAGCGGTACCTATTTATCTTTTTGCATTTGCATGCTTTTGATCTGTTAGGTTGGCAGGAGTTGGGGCAAGGAATGGCAGCTTACTCCCTCATTCAGTACCTTCTAGTCAACAAGTCCAGTGTCTTAACTGTTCACCATGCTCTGTTTTTGAAAAAAAGAAGCTGCTGCTTACCGTTAATTTTTGAAGATCATAGTCATCCAAAGCATTCTACAAGGTAAACAAACAAGTCAAATTCTATCCTGACATGAACACTTGCAGGATGTCTCTATCCATGCCTTCACTACATATTGATACAAACTGGTGAAACCTGACTCTAAAGGTCCCCATGGTTTTCACCTAATTAAAATTAAAAGTTATTCCCTCTTTCCCAAACAATAAGTCACATGGTCCAATGAAAGTGCTGTCAGTTGCCTGGAAACTTCACTCCTCCTCTTTCAGCCGCCTGTGGGAACATCCTTGGTTCTCAGGAGAAACTATTTTGTTTTGGCTACAAAACCCCACTTATCTCTATCCCCCCCTCCCTATCCCTCAGCACCATTAAGCAACACCAAAGCCTCAAAGATGGCCTCAGTCAGCCCAGCTTCAGAGTTGACACCATCTTAAATAACATTTACATGAATTTCTACTTTTTTCTACTTATGAAAGACACAGGGGGTTGGACTAGAAGACCTCCAAGGCCCTTTCCAACTCTGATATTCTATTCTATTTCTTATCACAACAGGGATTGATTCTAGAAAATGAATTTGAAATGAATTCTAATTCTAAAAACAATTTGGATTAACAAAATTCTGAGGAGTCCTTTTTCTTTTCTTTCTCTTTTCAATGTCCTTTTATATTCACTGAACTATAATGTGCATTAAGAAACCCAAGGAATAATAGTGTTTCCCCATACACCAACATAAAGATGATTGCTTAGAAAAGAGAAGATATACCAGACATATATCACTTTATTCTAGTTCATGTTAGTTATGTAACTATACATAGAAGGCATCCTTACAGTGGATTTTTTAAAAATATATATATTATTATTATTATTCCACTTCTAGACCCCCTCTCTTCTACCTTCTCTGGCTGTCTCACCAAGTAGGTTCAAATGTGAAATATGCTCATGATTAAAAATGCAGATTTGTATCTCTACCTATAAGTGCTCTTTTTGATTTTCAGTGTATAGGGGGAAAGGAAAAGGGGATATTGAAATTCCACAACGGCATCTTATTTCCTCTTCCAACTATTATAAGAATGTCAGCTCAAATTCAGAGCATTTTCTGGTCAGAAAAAGATTTTAAAAAGATTTAAGCCATCCTGAGACCTAAAATCCTTATATCAGTACTCAACATACCCCCACACCCACTCCCCAACTTTGGGAATGGTGTGTGGAATGTGGGTGGATCTTTGGGGGTGAGTGGAAGTCTCTCTCTCTCTCTCTCTCTCTCTCTCTCTCTCTCTCTCTCTCTCTCT